GTGTGGAGTTTATGAAAAGCTGGGGGAGAAAGGGAAATGAGAGAAGGGAAGTAGTACTGTCATGCTGATGTTGGTCTGAGAGAGGCAATAAAAGAGAGTAGTAGTGCTATTTTTTTTTCCTTCCTTTTTCCAAGTATTTTGCTCTCTTTTGCTTCTACTTTTCCTTCTGTTTTTGTACAGTTGTTAGTTATATTTGGAGAGAGATCATAGATAATACTGTAGAGAGAGAGAGAGAGAGAGAGGGAGAGATGTGAAGGGTATTGGTTGGTGGAGTGCGGAGAAATTGGTAAGAGAGAATGACAACACATCTTGTTACACGCTTGTCTGTCCTTACAATTTTTTATCAGTAGGAGATCAAAATTAATTATAAGGTTATGATGATAGCATCATTCAAACCAAGGCCATAGGCTGTGCTTGAAATCTCTTTAAAGCTGTGTCTGGTTTAACCTTGGCCTCTAGTTAAGAAGCGTTGTTTATCTCCGGAGGTGATCCACAGCTAAACTTGTTTAGTTTCTGTTAGTATTTGTTTGTAAAAAATAAGATAGTCCCACATTGGAATTTTGAACATTCTTTTAGATGTTTAAAAGCATTGAATGCTTATTGGGCTTCTAAGGGGTGTTTTGAAAAGTTGTGACTGTTGGAAGCACCTTTTCAAAATCTATAAATAGTTTATATTTTCAGATATCAACAATAATTCTTTCTCTGAATCTTTTCTATCAAAAACTTCTGCAATATTACAAACTTGTTTCACAATGAATTAAGGAAAATTCCAGATTTGCTTACTGGAATTTTCATTTTCTGTTGTATCCTGGGAAAAAATTTGCATTAATCCGAAGCAACTTTGAATATCAAGTGGGGGCAAATATTTCTTTAAGGAAAGTGTTTCACGCCTCAGAATTTCTGTCTCCTTCAATTTTAAAATTAACAAGTTCTGACTAGAATTAATTAAGTTGGATATTATACCGGCCTGATCTAAACTTAAAAAATTGTCAAGCCAAACACATGACCCATATTCTACTTGCTTGCCTCTCTTGCAGACTCTCACATAAAAAAATTTGACTAAATATTAATGCAAGGCCAACATATCATATCAGAAAGTTATATTGGATAGTGTAATTAATTTTAAGCAAGTTTAATTCCAAGATCAAAATAAGGGACTGAGAGAACATTCAATCTGGGTTGGTCCCAAGGGAGCCAGACATGTTAGTCTACCAGTGCTTAATTATTTGGAATGATCATTGTTTTGAACTTTTCTACTAACAAGAATAAATGGAAAAGAAATTAATATATCCATTCAACACGTTATAATGGAAAGAAAAACTCTAGCCATGAAATTATGGCCAAAAGTTAATATGTTCCCTTTTCAATTATGAGGCTCTAGCTATCCACTTCTCATCTCATAAATTTAAGAATAAAGTTTCTAAAAATTTAACATTTTTCTCCACACGTTGCTGGAGTAAGGACCAATAGCATCATTCTATTCAAAAGAAAGCATCATAAAGGTTATTATCATTCTGTCATCCAGCCCAACATCAGAGACATGATATTTAAAAAGATTAATAAGCTTTGATTTCACTACACTTTAAACTCAGCCAACCATCTGTATTAATGGAGTTTTATTACACTCAGTCCATCAGGACTAGCTACGCGCTATAGTTACATTGCTCCACAGGAAAGCACAACTAGCGATAGATCGAACAGCTCATAGCAAAAGGACCTTAGGCATCAAAATTCCATATATTAGTTGCTTTGTTACAATGCATTCAGCGAAAATAGATGATCACCATCAACGTTTCTAGTAGAATGTGTCGTATGTTGCCAAGTATGGAACCTGCATTCTACAAGATACTAGTAGTAGTTATAGCATTTCATGGTGTTACAAGTGAAGGATATCATTTGCATGTCGAGTGAAAAGAAAAGTTGTTCCTTTAATGAACAGTCATATTAACAAAATATATTAAGTTTGCAAGTCTCACAGTGGCTAGAGTGCATGTATATAGATGGTTAAATATGCTTAAAATCATTTGCACAAATAGTGTTAATCCTTTTGCGTCAATTGGGTTCAAATAGACCAGCATAGTCCATCTTGTTAGTGGACCTTTAATTTCCAATCCTAACAAATTGGCATTGATCGATCATGGTTCTATGGGCCTTTGTTGGATGCTCAATCAGCTTTGAGATTCTGTTCCATAAGTTAGACCTCAAGGTGGAGCGTATGTGGTGTGACAATATATATTATATATCTATATTTATATATATATATATATATATTATATATTATATAATATAGTATACTATTATATATTATATATCTGGGGTTTTGAAATATTAAATTGTTAAGAATAGAGCTTTTGGGAAGAGAAGAGACTTTTAAGAAAAAAGAGGCTTTAAAAATCTGGCGGTCTCTTGGCGCACGTTAACAGGCGAATTTCGTCCTGCTAACATACGCCCCCGTCTTGAAAAATGAAGAAAAAAAGGGAAACTCAGGGAAAAAATCTTCAGTATAGGATTACGATCTGGTTCTCAATCCTTGGAGGATAATTCAGATTCAAGATTTGATGAAGATGATGTAATTTTGAGCTCTGAGATCATGGGGTCAACTGGACCTTGTGGCGAGAAGAAGAAGAAATTGTTGAATGAGATTCTCAGATCGGATAGGTTTCTTGTTGATTCTCAACCTCAGAATCGCTCTCAGATGTTTGGATCTCAAATTCTCCAAGCTCGGAATCTCTCTTGCAATGAAGCGATCGCTGGAGATCAAGAAGCTACACTCAGTGGATCTCCGATCCTGAACTCTGGTGCAAGTGGATCGGGTAAGATTTCTTGGGCCGATAAGGTTGATTTTGAATCATCTGGTCAGCAGCAATCAGTTTTGATTTCGGCTAGATCTTTTGATCCAATTTCACAAAAAAATTTACAGAAAGAGATGCATGTTCTTGACTCTACTACTATTGCATCTAATTCAAATGTGATGAATACTCCTGCTATTAGATCTACGAATTTGAATTCAGTTCTTGAATCTGTTTCTTTAGACCATGATAAGATTAAGATTGATAACAAAATTGTATCTCCTCTGGAACCTGAAATCACTGAGCCACTTCAAAACAAAGCTGAAAAGAAAAGTTGGTCGAGTCTTTTTGCTGACAATAGGAGGACAGGTTGTGGTATGTCATTGAATTTTGTGACTCCTGAGAACAAAGATTTTGTGTCATTTAGTGAGGAGGAATGGAATGAAGGCAACTCAAATTGGCAATTTTCTTTAATTGGCCAAGTTTTAGGATTAAATGTAAAATTCAAGGCTATGGAAATCTATGTTCAAAAAGTCTGGACTAATTGGTCAGTGCCTGAAGTGTGTCTGCTTAAATCAAGCTTATTCTTATTCAAATTCAAGACCAAAGAGGAAATGGATGATATTTTAGTGAATGGCCCCTGGTTCTTTGGTTCTAGACCCCTCCTATTGAAAGTTTGGTCAAATGATGAAGATATAGACAAGATAAATGATAATGTTTACCCCCTGTGGATACAATTGCCTGGACTGAGATTAAACTTGTGGAGCTCAAATGCAATAAGTAAAATAGCTAGTCAAGTTGGGAGGCCAATTGCCACAGACAAGTTAACTGCTAACAAGCAAAGATTGGTTTATGCTAGAGTTTTAGTTGAAGTTCATATGCCTTCATCTCTTCCTTACATAATTCCTATTCATGGTCCAAATGGTAAAATTTTTAATTAAAAGGTGATTTATGAGCTTAAGACTAAATGGTGTAATAGATGCAAGCTTGTGGGACATGATACAGATTTTTGTAAGAGATACCCCATGACCAAAAGATGGGTTCAAAAATTAAAACCTGTAAATCAAGCTGACCCTGGAGTTTTGGGGAAACCTGTCTTGCATGGAGAACAGTGTTCAGGTGGAGATAATGCTGTGCAAATACAGAAATTTATTTCTGGGGATTCAATTGGAGGAGTAAAATCACACAATAAGGAGTGCTCTCCAATAAATAAACTTGTGCATGCTCATGTTGTACATGCTTATGATCATGATCAAGGGGACCTAAAGTTGAAGGGAATACAATCTGGCCTGCCTGATGATAGTGTGAAAATTATTCAGTGCAACTTATCAGGTCAGAAAAGTTTAAGACTCAATAATCTGGACACTGTGCACGTTGTGCATGTTCAGGATCAGTTTTCTGGATTATCACCTAGGGGGTTACATTTACAGGCTGAACAAAATTTGTGCACTTCAGTTAATAATCTGGTGCATGCTGTGCATGTTTAGGACCATGGAATTTGGAATTCTATAGCAGGGAATTGGGCAGATATGCAAAAATCTGGAGTTAAGAGCTTTCCAACTCTTGGAAACTCCTTTGATCACCTCAACAAACTGGTGGATGATCCCCCAAATATTAATGGAGGGTATGTTCTAGAAATATGAATTTCTCCTTTTAGAATATCAGAGGGCTAAACAAGTCCTCTAAACAACAGTTGGTTAAGCTCCATATACACTAACATCATATCTCTTTTATGGCTCTCATTGAAGCAAAAATCAAGGTTAACAACCTTCCTGCTATAGCAAAGAAGTTACATAGTAACTGGAATTGGATTTCTAATGCAAATAGTTCTAGCAAAGCCAGATTATTGATTTTATGGGATCCAAATACTCTAGATGTTCATGTTGACGGGATATATGCCCAGCTTATTTCCTGTTCAGTTAAATCCCTGGATGGTAGAATTGATTGTCTAGTTACCTCCATATATGGACATAATCATCAAGAAAATAGGAAGGTTCTTTGGCAAGATCTTTTTCAAATTCAACAGTCAGTTGGGAACAAAGCATGGATCCTATCTGGAGACTTTAACACTATTACTGGACAAGAGGATAAAATTGGTGGTCTTGCAGTTACTGAAGCTGAAACTATTGATTTTAGGGATTTTATTGACAATTGTCAATTGTCTCATTTAAAAACTGAAGGCTGCTACTATACATGGAATAATAAACAAGACTCTAATTTCAGGGTTTGGAGTAGATTGGATAGAACTTTGGTTAATGACTCTTGGATCAATTTGCATAACTCTAGCTCCTCAGCTCTAGTTTCAATAAATGATAACTGTGTGCAAGGAAAGAAGCCATTTAAGTTTTTCAAGATGTGGATCAAGCATGAGAACTACTTGCCTATTATTTCTTCTGTATGGCAAAACTCAATTGCAGGATGTGCTATGTTTTCTGTTGCAAGCAAACTGAAGCTATTGAAGAATGCACTGAAGGATTTAAACAAAAGGAGTTTTCACAATATCAGTGAGAAAGTGATCAAGGCTAGAATTAATCTGGAAAATGTGCAAAATAATCTAGGACCCTTTCAACACTGATTTGATTAATCAAGAAAAAAAATGCTTTGCTTTATACAACAAACTTTTGGATTGTGAATTATCATTCTATCATCAGAAATCCAGAATCCAGTGGAATGTGCAAGGAGACAGATGTACAAGCTTCTTTCATTCTGCAATTAAAGCTAAAAGGCATCTCAATAGAGTAATGGTGCTTTACAATAATGCAGGATGCAGACTAACTAATGGTGAAGAGATAATTCAGGAGTTTGTTTCTTTTTATAAGAATCTCATGGGTTCATTTACAAAAACATCTAGGCCTGATGCTGATATTATTTCCAATGGTCCATGTCTTGATGAGGCTCAAGCTAGTTCCTTATCTTCTCAAGTGTCCAAAGAGGAAATTAAAAGTGCAGTCTTCTCCATGGGTGATGATAAAGCTCCTGGGCCTGATGGGTATAATATGGCATTTTATAAATCTGCCTGGCATATCATTAGGGATGAGGTAACAAAAGCCATAAATGGTTTTTTTTAGAACTGGTAAGCTTCTGGGAATGATCAATGCTACATCAATCACTCTGATTCCAAAAATAAAATTTTTTTAGAACTGGTAAGCTTCTGGGAATGATCAATGCTACATCAATCACTCTGATTCCAAAAATAAAGTGTCCTAAGACTCCATCTGATTTTGGGAATGATCAATGCTACATCAATCACTCTGATTCCAAAAATAAAGTGTCCTAAGACTCCATCTGATTTTAGACCCATTGCCTGCTGCAATTGTCTTTATAAGATAATTTCTAAAATTCTAGCCAATAGGATTAAACCTGTTATGGGGATTTTGATCAACGAGGCTCAAAGTGCTTTTGTGAGAGGTAGACAAATATCAAGTAACATCTTACTAGTATTAACTGGGATTTTCTAAATGATATGCTTAAAGGCCTTGGTTTTCCAGTCAAGATGGTTAATTGGATTATGGCCTGCATTACTACCCCCAAGTATTCCATTTCTTTAAATGGCACCCTTCATGGTTACTTCAAAGGTGAGAGGGGTTTAAGACAAGGTGACCCCCTCTCACCATACTTGTTCAATTTGGGCATGGAGTATCTCTCAAGGCAGTTGGATTTACTTAAGGATAATAGGTCTTTCAAATTCCATCCTAGATGTGGAAATCTCAAAATCACTCATTTAATCTTTGCGGATGACCTTCTCCTCTTTTCTAAAGGTGATCTTCACTCAGTCAATCTGCTTTACAAGTGCTTTAAACATTTTAGTGTTGTATCAAGTCTTGAGGCAAATCCTGGAAAATGCAAAGTTTTTTATGGAGTCATTGATGATAATCTAAAAGGCCTTGTTTCAAACCTTCTAAACTTCTCTAAAGGAGTTTTACCCATCACATATCTGGGTGTTCCTCTGGTCTGTAAACGTTTATCTTACATGGATTGCTCTACTCTCTTCAGCAAGATAGTAGGTCAATTCTAGTCTTGTATAAAAAACAGATCTCTCTCTTATGCAGGAAGATTACAAATAATCAAAAGTGTTATCCTTGGTATACAAAATTACTGGATTTCTAATTATTCTGCCAGTGAGAGTGCTTCAGAAAATTGATGAACTATGCAGGAATTTTCTTTGGGGCAATTCTGAACAAGCTCACAAAACTCCTCTTATTTCATGGGATCAAATTTGCTTGAATAAGAAATCTGGAGGCCTAGGCATCTATTCTGCATCTAGATGGAGTATGGCTGCAACACTGAGGTTACTCTGGAATATACATGTAAGCAAAGAAAGCCTATGGATCAAGTGGATACATGGTACATATTTAAAAAACTGTGATGTCTGGCATGTTCAAGCAAAAAATAGTGATTCGTGGATGTGGAGACAGATCTTGAAGGTCAGGGATAAGGCCCAGGCACATTTTGGAAGTGTTGATAATCTGAAGTTGATCATTCAGTCTTGTTGCAGGAAATCAAAAATACAACTGTCTGATCTATATGATGCTATCTCCCCTGTATCTAATTTGGTGCCCTGGTTTGGCATAGTTTGGGAGTCCTCAAATTACCCCAGGCACTCATTTATCAGTTGGCTAGCAATTCAGAACTGTTTGTTCACTCAAGACAGATTGATTAGGAGGGGTATTATTAATATAAATTGCTGCAGGTTTTGCTCTGGTTCTGAGAGCAGAGATCATCTTTTTTTCGAATGTTGCTACTCTAGTGATATCTGGGTAAAGGTTATGAACTGGCTGCAGTTTAGGTGGCGATCGTGCAAGTGGGATTACGTTTTGAACTGGTTTTGTTCCAGGTTGAGGGGGAGAGGCTTTAAGCAAAAACTAAAGAAATTGGCTCTTACCTCAACTATTTATAGCATATGGAATGAGAGGAATACCAGGGTTTTTCGGCATGAATTGAAGTCAGCTGATCAACTGTTCAAAGAGATCAAATTCAACATTTTTGCTATTATTCTTAATGGTCCTTTTGCTGTTGAAAATAGAGAATGGATATGTGCTTTGTAGGCTTGAGTAAATGAGATGTAAGTGTTTTGGAATGTTTTGTAATTCTCAGTTTAACTGAGATCTTGATATACTGTATTTTCACATTTGGAAGATGAATAAAAGTTACTGTTCATTGACCCAAAAAAAAAGAGGCTTTAAGGAATAGAAGAGACTTATTTTATTTATTGTATTGAACTGCTTAAATACAAGAGTAAGAGGTGAAGTTCTAGAATTCTAATTGATGTGGGACTAAAATAAAGGAAAGCAGATACCCTATAATACTACTATATCTAACACCCCCATCAAACTCGCAGTTGGTAGAGAATTGTGAGTTTAGATAAGATGAGTAGAATTTTGTATAGATGGTTGTTGGCATGGCTTTGGTGAGAGGTGATTGAATTGGAGTACATCGGTGGCTGGAGTTGTAGGCGGCAAGGTCATGTTATTGCAGTGGTGATCGACAGTCATGCACTGTGATTGCAAGAGGGCAGACTTACAGTCGCGGGAGAAGGCACGGTGACTGGATCTTGCAAGCGGTGAAATACGATGTTATAGCAATGATCGGCGATCACACACGGTGGTTGTAGGAGGGCACTACAAATAGAAGGATTCAACGGTGTTGCTACCGTGGGCGCTGCAGTTTCAGATGGTCCAGCAATGTCGCTGCCATGGGCGCTACAGATGGAGAGGTTCAGCGGTGTCACTACTGTGGGCGTTACAGTTGCAGATAGCCCGACAATGTCGCTGCTGTGGACGCTACAGATGGAGAGGTTTAGCGATGTCATTGCTGTGGGCGTTGCCTTGCAAATTTGGCTCTTAAGATCGAATAGTGGTAGCACTACGATGCAGATCTGGTTCGAATGTTCGTGCGACAGTGCAGTGTTGGCTCTCTTGGCCAACCATCTATATTAATGGAGTTTTATCACACTGAGTTCATCAGTACTAGCTACGCGCTATAGTTACATTGCTCCACAGGAAAGCACTACTAGCGATAGATCGAACAGCTCTCAGCAACCTTAGACATCGAAATTCCATATTAGTTGCTTTAATACAATGCATTTAGCAAAAAAAGATGATCAACATTTCTGATAGAATGTGCCGTATGTTGCCAAGTATGGAACCTGCATTCTAGAAGATAGCAGTAGTGATAGCATTTCATGGTGTTACAAGTGAAAGAGATTATTTGCATGCTGAGGAGAAAAAAAAGAACAATTCCTTTTATGAACAGTCATATTAACAAAATATGTTAAGATTGCAAGTCTCACATTAGATGGAGTGCATGTATATAGATGGTTAAATATGCTCGAAATCATTTGCACAAATTGTGTTAATCCTTTTGCGTCAATTGGGTCCAAATAGACCAGCCTATTTCATCTTGTTAATGGACCTTTAATTTCCAATCCCAACAATTTGGCATAGATCGCCCATGGTTCTATAGTCCTTATTGGATGCTCAATCAGCTTTGAGATTCTATTGCATAAGTTAGACCTCAAGGTGGAGCCTATGTGGTGTTACAATATATTGGATTCTTATTATTGTTAAGAATAGATCTTTTGTGAAGAGAAGAGACATTTGAAAAAAAGAGGCTTTAGGGAACAGAAGAGGCTTACTTTATTCATTGTATTGAACTGCTTAACTACAAGAGTAAGAGGAGAGGTTCTAGAATCCTAATTGATATGGGACTAAAATAACGGAAAGTAAATACCCTAATACTACTATATCTAACACCCCCTGTCAAACTCGTGGTTGGTAGAGAATCGTGAGTTTGGATCAGATGAGTACAATTTTGTGTAGATGGTTGTTGGCATGGCTTTGGTGAGAGGTGGTTAAAATTAGAGTATCTCGGTGGCTAGAATTGTAGGCGGCAAGATCATGTCATTGCAGTGGTGATTGACAGTCATGCACTATGATTACGAGAGGGCATACCTGCAGTCGTGGGAGAAGGTGTGATGACTAGATCTGGCAAACGGCGAAGCGTAATGTTACAGTAATGATCGGTGGTCACACACGATGGTCACAGGAGGGCACTGCAAATAAAACGGACCAGTGGTGTCGCTGTAGTTACAAATGGATGTTGCTGTCGAGGATGCTACAGATGGAGAGGTTCGATGCTGTGAATCTGGCTCGTATTGTCGAGCAGTGGTGGCAGTGTGGTGCAGATCTAGTTTGAATGTGCCAGCGATGGTGCAGAGCAGTGCAATGTTGCCTCTGTTGGTCAAGCCTTGTGCAGATTTAGCGCGCCTGGTGCAGCGGTGATGGTGTCATGTGAACAAACGGTCGACGTTGTGTGTGTTGTGGACTAGCGAATGCAGATCTGGCTCGAATTGGGTCGAGCGATCGTGATCTGGATGGCATGGTCGCAAAGAGTGTTGAGCGATATTGAGCGGTGGTGCAATTTTAGGTCAAGTGGTTGAGCGATATCAATGTTGTGGACCAGTGATGGTGCGGTAATGAGGACGAGGTGTTGTCGGCGCAAGTGGGTGCAAATTTGGCTCAAGCAAGTTGCACATTGGTGCAAATCTGGTGGGCTTGGTCAAAATTGGTATTGAGGCAGCAATGTTCAGGATGAATAATAACTCAAATAGGACAATAGACTGTTCAGGTGAACGACGGGTGTCGCTAGCAGCGAAAGGAGGCATAGTCAGAGACGAAGGTTATCAACTAAGTTATAGTCAAATGACATCGAGTGAATGGCGATCGTGAGCACTGCAGTAGGCTATTTCGATGGTGGAGGGCAGCATCATGGGGAAAATGCGGATGTCATAGAGATGGCAGGTGAGAACGACAAGAGGTAATGTAGTGAGTAGTAGCAACTCTGGGGTCCGTTATGTCGAGAGAGTGATGACATCATCGATAATGGCTATTGTGCGGGTGAAGACGATGACTTCATCAAGATTGAACAGTGTTCTCGGGTGAATAGTACCCGCAAAGATGAATAGTACTATCGGGTGAGCAATATCTATAGTGATGAACAATACCATGGTGATGAACAGTACTGTAGTCGATGAGAGAGAGTTGATGTAGTTGAGGTCGGTGTCAAAGCTGCCAAGAGGAAGCACGTAGTGTGAAAAAATCCCCACGGCAGTCGTGAGATCATGGAGGAGGAAGTAGGTCTCTCTAGTTTTGATAATTTGACTCTGATACCATGTTAAGGATACAACTTTTGGGAAGAGAAGAGACTTTTAAGAAAAAAGAGACTTTAGAGTATAGAAGAGACTTATTTTATTCATTGTATTAAAATGCTTAAATACAATAGTAAGAGGAGAGGTTCTAGAATCCTAACCGAGTTGGGACTAAAATAAAGGAAAGCAAATACCCTAATACTACAATATCTAACAATTATATGTAACTTTGCCCATCATGGGTTTGCAGTTTCAAAGTTTTGGTGTAATGTCAGAAACATTAAGATGATTTTAGAGCAATTCCATGTATAAATCCCTTTGACAATGAATGTAATATAGATTGAGAAAATGATCACTACTGCTTGAGTCTAGGTTTCAGTCTATAAAAGGGTACTCTTAGTTGAGAGACCATGTTAGCACTAATAGAAAAATATGCAACCTAGATAGAAAAATTGTCTAGGTTGCCCTCAAATCAGTTTAGTTAGATCAATCTAGATGAAAATCCATCTAAGTAAGTCTGTCTAGGATAATTTTGTTTACGTTCACTCAATCTAAATAGAAATTTATCTAAGTTGGTCTAACTAGACGAAAATCAACCTAGACGGAAGTTTAAATTAGATCAATCTAAATAGAAATTCCGTCTAGGCCACAATCTGGACATAAATTTCGTCTAGGCCGCAACCTAGATGGAATCTTTATCTAGGTTATGGGCTAGATGGAGTTTTCGTCTAGGATGCTACCTGGTCTAGGTTGCCATAAGAGCAACCTAGACGAAAAAATTCATCTAGGTTGCTAACATTAATTTAATATACACATCAATACACAATTCATGTACATTTTATACCCATATCCAACCAAATATTATACACATAATCAATATCCATATCCAATATACACATCCAACTAATCAATCCAACATCCATTTCAGTAAAAATCTATCTTATCAGAATATTTACAACAGATACACCAACAATGCCAAGTCCATATAACACCAGATGAATAAAATATAGTACTCTTATAGATAAAAAAACTGTTTAGTGTATAAAATACAAAAAACAACACATCTTGTCGTCATTAGTTGCGGCTCTCTCCCTCGTACAAAAATCACTGTTATTCCCTCCAATATCTCTAGCCTGAAGGTCAAATTCATCATTTTTAAAATCATGTGAAATTTGATAATATATTGAATATTATGGAAATAATATGCAACTATTAATTTTTTAGGGGACTAACATGCAATAGCATTAATATTTTCACTTTAATAAAAATAATATGTAACTATTTAACATTATGAGGACCAATATATAATTTTTCATGTAATTTTCTGTATTTATGGGAGTAATATATAATACATACGATTTAATGAACTCATATTAATATAGTATTAACATGAAAATAAGATACATGTGCGCTGCTCTGCCTAAAGCCAATATTACCTGCGCCTGAGTTTATAAGTGGTATAACTTCACCAAACACATGAGTAGGAACCACACCGGCCAAGCAATTTATGACGTAGGCCATGATCTTGACCATTGTGCGGGCCCTCGTCACAATGTTATTCATCTCCTTAGTCACCTGAACATGCAATTCTGAGTCAATCTTTTCACGCAAATAGGTGGACACACGTAGAACAAGTGGCATAGTAGAAATATTAATTGTTACTATTGTCATTGCTGAAGATGACACAGAGGATGCTGTGAATGATCTTATCCTTATGCCTGGTGAATCTCAAACACCATGCAGTGGATATCTTCCTCTCATATTATTGAGGGTGAAAATAAACCAAATAATTAACAAATAGTTTGATAATTGTAACCCACTTAACATTTTTGTGTAGATGTTTTATGTACAGATTTTATGACCTAAATTATCTTAAATATGTATTCTAATAAAAAATAC